TGATTGTAATATCAGATGGGGCACCACCTAGTCCACAGCCATGAGTAATGCCTTCCAGATAAGTAACAAGCCTGGAAAACAGACAAGCAGAGACATCACAGATCTTGTTGGATGTGTCAACCGGAAACCCACCATTATCAAACGGGCAGTAGTTTGGTCTCATTTGCAGAGGGCTAGCAACATAAAACAAGGAACCAACAAAAACCTAAAAGGCTGCTCTACAACCATTCTGCCTGAAAAACTATAAATGTTTCAAATATAAACATGCTCCAGAAAATGTAGGTTGGTGCCAAAAGTTTATTCTTTGAGTCTAATTGCAGAGACGCCATAGTAATTTCACAAGAACTTTTCAAAACATATAACATCTAACATCTAATCCTCTTGCCTCAAATGAAAGTCCTCAAACACCACACTACTAGTTAACATCCATGTAGGGTAAATGAAGTCCAGAGCCCTTTCAGCAAAGCACATAGTGCAAGCTAGGGTTCACCAGGGACGGCCAATCAGCCCAATCCCAACGGGGGGAACACACACACACGCAAACACACGAACACACGCACACTAAGATAGAGAGTTATTTCAATGGTATGTGGGAAAAGCCAAAGAAACTAGGAACCATGGAAAAACTGTATCAGAAAGATTCAGGGGTACACTATATTATTCAGAAAACCTCCACACAACCATTTTATTAACTATTGGTAATGGCAAATAGAAGAGCACAAGAACAGCAGCAGAACACATATGCAAGGTCTGGGGTAATTCCACAACAATGTCTAGGAATGGAAAGATGCAATACTTCTACAGGAAGCAATTAAGACCAAATGTTTCAATTGATAAGCATGAAAGATTATGCATTCATCTGCTGGGACAATAATTTTTGATTCACTCTTAATTATTACAGATAGTAGCCTTTTCATACTCAATTTCACGCAACATGAGGATATTTATCCACTCTTCTGTTCCAAACTTCTCAAGCTGTATAGAGTAAGTTGAGAAATGGTCTTGCCGACATTATAAAATGGGATTAAGCTCAGTACTCTGAGCCATGCAAGGACATCAATGCTTATTTTAAGCTACTCTCGAGTTACTTTGCCAATGAGATTTGTCTACATGAAAGAATCTTCTACCACAGTTTGAGTTTTCTGACATGGCTGTAGGTCTTTAGATTTCTCTAAATAAGATTTCTCCTTATTTTTCAATCATTTACATATTAGCATTGAAAAGGTCCCACAGTCTCACTGGACAGCCATTTGACATTCTGCCAAATATTTTCAGTTTTTACCATGGGGGTGTCTAGTGACCTCTTTGTAATGATACGAGTTCTTTCTTGTCATTCTAACATAAAGACCCCATTAAGGAGGATATTGTTGATCCGCAAACAATCTATCGTAGTTGTCATTCAGTGACAGCTGCCCTAGCAACATCTACCCAAGACCAGTCCTTGTTCTTTGGTAACAAGTCTGAATGGACAGCTTGACTGGCTGCAGTCTGGTGGTAGTTTTGTATTTCCCCCCACTTTACAACAGGCTTCATTGATCTATGAGATCTGCAGTTCCTTTTGAAATGATTTTGTACCCTCATGTGTAGCCTGATTTGGTCTTTTCTATAAAATCCAACTTCATTTCAGTGCTGATATGTCTTCATTTTGAGTCTTTTTCATAGTCTCCACCATACAATAGGACCTCAGATTAATTTAAACCATACCATCAACTTACTTGCCCAAACAGAGAGAAGCTGCTAGCATAGCGGGTGAATTTTGGAGGCAATGTACTCAAACGTATTCAGGCTTGGACTGATCACAGCCATGAATATTTTATCCATCATATTACATCAGTTTTTTGAGTTTTAGCAAATTATTCAAAATTTGCCATTTTTATTTTGATTTCACGTGGTGCTCAAAACTATGCAGACCACTGAGAAAGAACCCAAATTAAACCCATTTTGAATTCATCACATTCGATAACAAAACAAAAGCTATACATTTGCATACAGGGACACAGATAACTTTAATCCATTGATGACAGACCTTGCTGTCCAGCTTCTTCATCGTGACCAAATCCAAAGACTTCAGGGAGTGACCAGAGGGGGCAATGAAGTACAGGCAGGCATGGATGCGCGAGTCATGGTAGTTATGGAGGGAGCGCTTGATTTTTAGCTCTTCCTGTAGGTAGGACTCAAACTGTGTGTCTATGTAGTCCACAACATGCTGGTAGCTGCACAGAGACACCAAAAAGGACTAATTAGTAATGAGAACTGTTAAAACCAGTGAGTGAGAAAACTGGCCCTGAAGTACATCTTTGTTCTTACCGAGAGTGGAACAAGTGATCACAAGACAAACTCTGATAACTGTAAAGCAATAGCATCAACAACAGTATTTCCAAACAATAGTTAAAGTACACTGCTATTTTTAACACCAGGCCATCCACTGGTTCGCAATATAAAACTTAATATACGTTTCAATCCAATCCATTTTATATAGAATACCTGTTGCAAAGAATATAAGAAGACCATTGTAGACCAACAGAGAAGTTAATGTGATACAATAATAAAATGGTTGTGTGGGGGGAAAAAAATTCAGAAGATGACAAATTAAAAGGAATTTATTAAGGAGGTTTTATAGGAGAACAACTTCTGGGGGTCTAAGGCCATCTGGTGGCCCAACTCCCCAAAGCATGCCTATACAAGAACTTATAAGTCATAAAAGTGTCTAAGTGATGTTGCACCTGCAGCAAACATAAAAATGAGTCTTAAAAACCTAATGGCGGTACGTGCCTTTCCTGCTTATTCATTTGGTCCCCAAAGCCTACAGTGTTGACGATGGTGAGCTTCAGTCGGACATTGCTCTCCTGCAAGTCATACGTTTGAGCTCGTAGTTTCACCTTGGGCTCAAAGTGGGAGGACTCAAAGTTCTCAAAATTAGTGTTGAAAAGAGTGTCCATCAGAGTTGATTTGCCAATGCCAGTTTCACCTGACACAGAAAGACAAACTTCTTTTAACATAAATATCACCTTAAATCTACCCAGTGTTTTAACAATAACAATATATGCTACCACGATGCACACACAGAGGAATTTTTTCAAAGAATTCTTTTAGGAATGCAAAACATTGTCTGTCAATCAACGCTTGTCTTTCCGGAATCAAGAAATTGCTTACCAATGCAGAGGATATTAAAACAGAAACCTTGGGATGTTGATTTATTGACAAGTTGATCTGGCAAGCTGTCAAATCCAACATGACCAGATAAGGACAAAGGACGAGCATTTTTATCTTGCTGGAAGGAGAAAGAGAAAAAAAACTGGCTATTATATTTAAATCAGTCTTGTAATTGTTTCTTACAGGCTGTCAGATCTAGGTCTCACAATGACTTCGCACACAGCAAATGCAAAATATTTAATTATTATAAATTTACTTGGTAATACGTCCAGTCACCCCTCGTTTAACGCAGCGTGACTTCAGCATCACTATATCATTGCACTGGGTGGATTTGGCAATAGATCCGAAAGATATTATTATTATTATTACGACCATAAATATAATAATACAAAGCGACTAAAGAAAATCTGAGAACTGCAGAATATGTGTGGGTTTGATCACGAAACTTCAGCATCAACAATCAGCTACGAAGGAAAAACATATAACCTTCTGGATTTAGATATTTGCGTTTTTCTACAGGGCACTGGCGCACATTATTTAACCAATCAATCCATGTCTATCTGCGTTTCGTGATCAGGGTCGCGGCAAGGCGAGCAGTCTATCCCTTGTAACAGGGTACAAGGCTGTGGCAAACCCTGGATTGGACGGCGGTCCGTGGCGGGTCACATACACAGCACAGCACATACACACAGATTTAAAGACGTCAAATAGTCTGACTGTAGGAGGAAATGCGGAGCAGTCGAGTAAAATGCACATAATTGAAATGAATCACAAGTCCAACTTATTTGTTTGAAGACATTGTTCTACACCTACTTTTGTAATTATTTTAAAAGAAGGCAATGTCCACTCTCCCCAAAAAGGTGCCTCAAACACAACAAAATACCCTAAATAAATAAACTGCCAGTTTTAAACAAACGACAGCAATACTTTTGCTCCTCACTAAAGAGATTTTTTTATAAATCTCACAGCAGCAAATTCCCAGTTATGACTAAAGTCGGAATCACGTTGCCCCGCCTCCGGACTCAAAGGCCTCAGCGCTCCAGTTTCTTTAGCCGGCGCTCCCTACACAACACACAGCCGACTGGGGTTTAATATGTCGTGTTTTTTTTTTCCTCCACAATGATTAATATAGCGAGTGTTGGTCAAAACATCTGACAGCTTCACCGAGAGATAAATGGTTCGCCTTAAAGCTAAAGACTGGTTAGCTGACCGCCATAGCCCTGGAATTCTGAGGCGTCCCGAAGTTAAACGGGAAGAAGTTAATCGCATACATTTTTGAAAACATACTGAAACACGTACCATCTGTCGGACAACGTCAGGTGAAGTCATTCTGAAAGAGATTAGGAGTTTATAAACTTCGTTATTAATTATGTAAATGGAAAAAAGCGTCCTCACTAAACTTAGGGTTAGAAAAAAATTCACACAACTGTAGTGGTTGGAATGTACTCTCGATATCATGACGTTAGTAGCCTCCACAATGACCGTGTTTGTACAATGTTAAGGATTATAAAATTAATTCTGTACTGTATAACTGTTTGCATCTTATACAATTAGTATATTTAATATGGGACAAATTTCAACTTAAGTTAAAGACGATTGTCATCGTTATGATATTTATATATTGCTCAAAACACCTACCATCTGAATGGAACATTCCATTTTTTTTCTATGTCGTTCCGGAAACGAGCTCCTTATTCAGAAGTTCGGTAACTCAGGCAACTGTGAACGCCTCCGACGTTTAAACTTTCGGGTTCCGGTATGGGGACGTCATTTGCGCAGGTCAGTGCTCGTCCGTCCGGCGTGGGTGTGCCTTGTTAAGGGGCGTGGATAACTCCTGCTTCGAGGACGCCCATTTCAATGAGATTGCGCGTAGGGTGGTACCTTTCAGAAACCATCAGCTCAGGTTATCAGACTGCTGAGACGCTCAGGATAAATCGGTGTCCCGATGTTACGGAATCTGGCAGAAGTGCTGCTTATGAGCGGGGCAATCGGGATCCCAGTATCCCACGTTTCCAATGGCGACTCAATGCACCCAGGAATCTGTTTTGCAGTTTTTGATAGAAAGGGGCGGGAGGGTGAAAAACGTGGAGCTGATCGATCGATTCAAATCCGTGTTCCCCAGCGATCCAGCGCAGAGGGCGCTGGCCAAGGAGGCATTTAAAGCCTACGTGGATAATGTTGCTTTCGTTAAAGCTGAAAGTGGGGCGAAGTACGTTTGCCTGAGAAAAAAATACGCGGCCTCGGTGAAGCGCACCGCTGAAGGAGCAGATGGACAGCGCAATGGGAATGATGGTTCCCAGTCGACTGGATTCCATCAGCCTAATCCCACGTCCAGTTCCGCGGTCCCGGAGATGCCGAATGGAACGAAGTGCGGAGCTGACTCTGGCAACGGACAGTCGATTAAAGAAACACCCATGGCTTCGATAGACAGTCCGGGATCTGTAGATGAGACTTCACCGTCGAAGAGTACTGCACATGTAATTCAGTGGGTCAGCAGCCCTGAGGAGAATGGATTGATGAAATCAGTAAGTGAAGTTAACAGGGACACAGTGGGGGCAAGGCCTGGGGAAAGCTTGCATGGAAGTGAGCATTTTACTTCTGACATACATGTAACAGTGAGTGATTCACCTGCTTTATCCATGGACACCAATATGAAAGGCTTAAAACTCGACACATCATCATCATCATCATCATCATCAGATAGCGGTACACTGTCAAATATACCTGCCTGCGAGTCTGAGGATAACGCATCTAAAGGAGGAGCACTTTGCATGGACGGACCACCCACAGATGCCCTGTGCGTGCCTGAAGGTGGACAGGGGGAGAACAAGGAGTGCAAAGGTGTGCCACCACCACAATCCATGAGCAAATGGCAAGCCACCCGAGAGTTTCAGCAGAACCAGTTGTTAAAGGATACCTTGGGTGATGGGGCAGATGAAAGGGTCCCAGACTCTGCCGATGACGGCAACACACCCAAAACCAGCCGGAGGACCTTCATAGAGCTCATGATGAGCAGTTCTCCCCAGGTACGTCGCAGCCTGGCGCTCAGAAATTCTGGGAACCTCCCGGTCAGGCACAGGGATGCTTTTTCTGTGAGGAGTGACAGCGACTCTGCCTCCATTGACGAGGACAGTGGCAGCGCGATGTTGGATCCCTTGGAGCACCAATGGATGATGTGCGCATCTGATGGGCAGTGGGACAGCCTGAGCCGCCTCCTGACCTGCGAGCCGACCCTGGTGGTGAAGAAGGACTTCGTAACCGGCTTCACTTGTCTGCACTGGGCCGCTAAGCAGGGCAAACAGGAGCTGCTAGCGTTGCTGGTGAACTTTGCGAAACAGCACGACATTCCTGTGAACATCAATGCTCGCTCCAGCGCTGGTTATACCCCCCTGCACCTGGCCGCTATGCACAACCACATAGAGGTGGTGAAGCTACTGGTGGGAGCTTACGATGCCAATGTGGAAGCCAGGGACTATAGCGGCAGAAAGGCAGCCCACTATCTGGGCAGCTGTGTGTCCGATGACGTCCGTGACATCATCGGGGCGTGTGCCGACTCCGACTGCGAGAGCCCTGAGACTGTAGCCGGTAGGTGGAGGTTCTCCAAAGTTCTCCAGACCAACTTCAAGCTTCTGAATCACCCAGAGGAAGACACGTGTGACTCTGGGGGCTTTGTGAAGCCTAAGCCTCTCATCCGGAAGCCTTCTGTCGGCAAAATGAAACCCAGGCTACATAAAATCAAGTACAAGACGCAAATAGTCCACAGCACTTCCTTCAGAGAGTCTGAGGAAGGAGATAACGAGTCTACAAGCCCCCTGAAGTCAAGACCAAAATCAAACCTCTTTGGTTGACGATGACAAGCTGAAAATGGAAACGCACTATATAGTTTTTTTTCTACCTGTCTGTTAATGAGTATACAGCAAACAGGGAGCCAAGGTAAATTCTGTAAAGCAAGTGATTTGATCATTGTATTGCTATCTGTTAAATTATGTATGTCCCTGCATTATTACTTTTTCAGTAATAAATAGCAGCCAGAAAGGATTGGTTTAGATGGTCAAGGGTTGACAGGTAAATTGCAGGAAAGCTGATGTTTGGAATAGATTCTGGGTGCCTTAGATTAATGTACCCAAGATGCAACTCCAGATAATAACAAACTGTGAATCTTCAGTATATTTATTGTCGCCAGAAATAGTCTACATTTGATTTAAATGATACCCACTGAATGTAAAATTAGGGTGTTCTTTTAAAACTCAAATATTCTATTAAACTAAGGAACTGCAATAATGTAAATGTTTAGTGTCTAGTTTAAAATGTAAATTTGAGAAATTGTTACTTTTTTTTCTATAAAACTGTCATTTTTAAATTCACCCCTACATTCATTTGCTGCAGGTCATATGCAGCAAAATAGATCGATATTTGTATAATGATTTTTCCCTCCAATTTAAAATCTTTAAATTTCTATGTTTGTAAAAGTTCAGTTTATTGGAAATTAATTATTGGTTTAATTAAAACATTATTTGGCAGTTATTGATCAAGATGAGAAAAGTATGATAAAGTTTAGCTTTAATTAATAAGTTGCCTCATTGACCTTCATCAACACATTAAAACTGAATTGTTAGGGGTTCTGAGCCCAGAAAATTCAGCTTTTCTAATTCAGCATGCTTATTTGGACTAGGTACTATTCTACGAATGTGTGATTTTATTTAGTTTCGGTTTATGCACTATAACGTCGGGAAAATGGAAAGATTTAGGAGGAACCATCAGTATTATTCACTGATGACTAATACATACTTGACTGACTACTAATGGTATAATTGCGACTGATGAGGTTTTTATTTACTTGCTTCTTCATATATTTACAGTTTATGACATAGTTCTTTTCTGCTGAGGACCTTGCAGATAACTTGAGTCCTCTTTTGGGCTTTTTTTTCTTCTTTGTGTTCAAGTTATGAACCAGGAAAGTATTAATTTTAGAAGATCACCAATGTTGCACAGTGGAAAGGTCTTTTTTTTTCTCCTCTTTGTGTTATTCTTGCATGCCTTAGGTGTTGCCTACAGAAAAACACCCTGACAAAACAGGTTCTTGTAAGTGAAGCTGCTGTATTTCCCAAGTCTGTGTTGTTTTTGAATGTCTCTACCAGTCAATATACAAAGACGGTACTGGATAAGCATTTGAAAGATGAATAGATAGATAGATGCATGGATGAATAGTATATTTTATTCACTGTCGCTAAAGGCTAATTGCTAAAAAATCTTTAGCAATTAGCTGTGTTTGTGCAAGGTTAACTTAGGACTTGGTATATTATCTGAATAATTTCCTGGTGCCTTTTACGTATCTGGTACCTGTCTGACATTTGCTTTATGGGTGGGCGGGTGGGTGGGATGATGTTCAGACACTTTTCCAGAAGAGCAAAGTAAGCTAGACTTGCCAGGACTTGCTGCCTGGTGCTGTGTAGTACAGTGTGTTTGCACTGGGGAAAATGCTGCACACAGCACATTTACTCCCACACTGTACTTTGTGTGCTGCCATGTTGGGTTCTTGTGTCATAGATATTTTAAAAGTTCTTTAATCACAGTAATTTCTTTGAACACATTGAGTATTGGGCCGTTATTAAAGCAGTTTTCTAACATCGATTTAGATTATTAACATTTCGACAGCCTCCTTATAGCAAAATCTATTGGGCTGGAACCCAGATTTTTACGATTGCCTTGTTTTACCACTTTAAAGTCATTATATATTTTGTAATGTTTGGTACGTAAACCTTTTTTGATCACAAATGACCTGAAATGGGTTTTGTTAGCACATTTTTAGCACACTTTTTTTCTAATAAGGGTTGGAGTCCCTGTCAGAAATATAGGTTTTCAAACAGTGAGACCCCTACTTGGTGACACTACTTGATCACCTGACTGAGCAGAAGGAAGGGATCTGGGGATTAGGTTGGTACAGTACAATGTTTGTTATAAAATGTTTTCTGTCAATAGGACCCTCAACCTCTTTGTATGTATTTTGTGAGCTACTGTATGTACTATTAAGGTGAAAGCAGTCAATATGAAACACTAATGAATTAAAGAAATATCAATCGCTGTCAAACTTTGCCTATAAAAATAAATTATATTGCTTGGTATATTGGATTGTTTGTTTTTTTTTGCCCTCTGTGATATACTTGAAGTGCCCTTCTGGCCCATTGCTTATTGTAACAAGATAAAAATAGTCACTGTATTGGCGATGTAAAGTTGTGGTAATTACTAGATGTGTCTTTCTACACCATGATTAAAAACTGACACAGGCTTTTTTCCTAATTCTGCTGGCTTGTGTCTCCTTAGTGTGTCTAAATTATCCTGAATGAATTGATAATGCACTGTAATTGTCTTCTGCTTAAATTACAAATGCCACTCTGCCTAATCTCCATTTATCATTAATAGGGCCCTTAACAGAGTATCTGATGAAACACCGTCTGCCAGCTGTTGTTTGTCATCCAAGAAGAGAATACAGAATAACCATGCCTATATACACACTCACACACACACTTTGTTAGACGTACATATTATACATATTAACCTTCTCTTTATTACACAAGGTTAACACTTTAAGAGGGTATATCATTTTTTTCATACTTTTTGTTTAACATTCCCTCCCTCCCTCACCACCCCCAGACTGGACCAAGATTAACAAACCATTAACATTTAGAGCATAAAATACAATAGTTACCAAAATGAGCCATAAAAACAGCCAGGCAATTACACTTATAAAACCAATAACTAAATACATTAACATAAAAAGGAGAAAAGGTTTTTGATTTTGTTTCTGGTCTTAATTGTATATGGATTTATGATCAGAGAAAACCTGAAGACATTTTCAACCATTCCCATTTTGTTCTGAGTCAAAACTCACAATATTTAATGTTTTGATCTTAATCTGTGATGCTGATTCAGTCAATGAGAGAAAACAATCTATGTTTTACTGTATCCTTTACTGTATCAATACGGTATCCTACAGATACAATGTTAGCTCAGAAAAGTGTTTTGAATTTTTTGACCTCCCCACATGCAGATTTGTCGCGTTTTCACTCCCCCTTAATAAATACCAGGCAGTTTCTCTGACAAAAAGCTCTTTCATGTGACACTTGGATGCCTGACTTTGTGGGAGCAGTGTAAGGTCTTCCTGGCTGATTCATTCTCAGGACAGCACATGCCCGTGCTCTGCTAGTCCTGTGATGTGCTACTGGCTCAAATTGCCACTAAGAAATGAGGAAGGTAGATTTCGGGCATCATACCTGTGACAGTAACACGATGATGGCAGATAGACAGTCATGAAAGTGATCATACTGTACATTATCTTCACCTCATTGAGGTTCACCTGCTATCAATCTGGTCACTCTTTACTATATCCAGAACATCTACTCTTTCGTTTTAGCCTTCTTATAACTACAACAAATGAAACCTTCACTGTGTATATTCTGTGATTGCATAACACAAATGTGTACAGCCTGATACACACACGATCATCAAAAATCATTGCCATGTGTTTTGCCATCACATTTAGGTAGGCAGATTTTATATGGGGAAAAAGACAAACAAAACATTCTGGTTTTGGTGCCTTTTCTGCATCTGATGGATCTTGCAGAGTGACAGAAGCCTTCATTTAGCATAGCTGGCTTCTTTCTGGGTCCCATGGCTCCTGCAACCTACTTAATCATTCACAGGAGTGACGGCTTTTTATGTGTAGCCTCATCTTCCCATATAATACCTTAGTGCTCCATAATGGCTGTGGCCCTGATTATATAAATTCAAAAGCTTTAGTCTACTGCATAGTATTCCTCAATGAGGTGAAGATAATGTATGATCACTTCATGACTGTGTACTGTCACAGGTATGATGCCCGAAATCTACCTTCCTCATTTCTTAGTGCATAGTATTGAATTCCTTATACAGTAGTTGCCTGGGGATGCAGCATATCTGGTTGTGTTCTGCAATGCACTGAACAATGCTAGGCTGTACCTCTGAATATCAGATTTAAGTATAGCATGTGTGTAGTCTGGTTGAGACCTTTCCGATTGACCTACCTTTAAATCTGTGTCCCCATGCAGACAAAACTGTATCAACGGCTGACTGCCCCTGTTGTGAAGAGTGACCTCATTTGCACATCAACCTCTCTGTCTCATTCGAAGGATCATACGATTTTGAGAGTCACTCTTTGCTATCTGGACAGATTGGGGGGGGGGTTATCTTTCAAACACGTAGCAAGGCAACCCACGCTTACCTGTTTTTGGTTCAATTTCCCGCAGCATGATTGGATCGGAAGGACCTTTAGCCTTATAATACATAATCCGTTAATATCAAGATGTGACTCAGTGTGATTGATAATTGTCCAAGTTTGTCAAATCAAACGCTTACTAATGCTAACGGTCATGTGGATATGAGTGAATTAATTTGAAGTGACAATGCTGCACACCCCTACACTAAGGTTTTTAAGTCTGCAGGCATATATCACTATTTGTTCATCTATTTTTAAAATTTTTATAAAAATAGATGAAGTTTACCATCCTAGGTACAAAGTCCAGGACATGATTTCAAGTTCTTTGCCAAAAAAAAGGGCAATCTGATGTCACGGATGATGTGAGCCGTACATAATTCAGTGGAATTCAATGGAATTAAACTCATGGGATGTTTCTATAGCAACCAAATGTGACAATGAACTGTCTGCAACATTCAGAATGTTTCAGATGAACGCTGTGAGTTTGAGTTTGTCCACCATTTAGGGTGCAATTTAATTGAACTTATTTAATTAATTTCTGGATATTTAACAGGAACAGTTTAGGTTGGCTACTGCTCTTTAATCCATTGAACACTGCATTTACCTGTAAATGGAATGTGACATTGACGTTACTTGACCCCAGTATGTCATGTTCCTGGGTGTTTCACCTGCCAAAGTCTGTTCTGGATTGGAGGGTGCAAAGGAGGGTGTCCTGGTGGCTCAGTGGGTTGCAGGTTGAAGGTGCAAATCCCACCTTTGCTATGTGTGTTTGAAGTTTGCATGTTCTCTTTGTGTTGTGTAGGTTTCCTCCTACAGTGTGAAGCCATGCAATTGCTCATAATGTATAAGACTGTGTTTGTGATTTACATCCCCTGCTATTGGAAGGTATGTTACCTGTGACAGGCTCCAGACCCCCACATGACCCTGAACTGGATTAGCAGTCGGAAGATGGAGAAGAGATGCTCAGGATGCAGGCATAGGGAGTTCCTCAATACCAAGAGTGCAAAGATTATACTTGTGTTCTTGGCAAGCGCGTTCTTGCTAACTTAAACGAACTTGGGACGCAATGAATCATGGGATTGATCTCGTTAATGAGGGAGGGCACCATGAACAGAACTGTCTTCCTGCCAAAGGTCAGCTGTGAGCTGTAGCTTCACACTTACCACTCCTTCCCCCAAGAGATGACGGTTTGTAAAGAATGCATACTGCTCTCAGTGCAACTTATTTACAGTATCTACCTATTATATGATTATCAGCATGTAATTCTGCTTTTGTACTTTCAACATGCGTCTAAGTCTTTAACAAGGACGCTTTTATCAATTTTTTTTTTCAAATTTCATGCTAATGATGACATTTTGCATCAGATACTGCCCTCTAGCTGCAGCATTGTGAAATAGTTTTTATGGATTGGGACAGTGTTTTCTTCCCAAGATAGATACAGTACATTTGACCCTGTACTGTATGTAATAATATTGAGTAATTTTTGAATAATTCAGTGCCTGGGGAGCAGCGCTGGGGGGCGCTACCTTGCTCATTGGGAATTTTAACCAGCAATCTTTCAGTTTGAAGTGCACTTCCCTAACCATTAGGCCAACACTGCCCAATAGATATGTTAATATATCTATAAGACAGTTGTATTGGCTTCCACAGCATATAACATTGCCATTATTATTAGGAGTACAGACGAACACATGTGCATGCAGTCACACACATATTCCTCTTCATATCTTTGTGAGAACTCTCCATTCATTTCTATGGGGAAAACCCTAATCCCACCAATGACAACCTTAACCCCTACCCCGCCCTAACCTTAACCATAATAACAAACAGAAGTCTTTTGGCATTTTTAGTTCTTTGACTGCAGTCACGGATCTTTATAAAAAATTGAGTTTCCCCTTGTGGGAACAAAACACCAAAATAAATAACAGGTTTTTATCACATTGTGGGGACATTTGGTCCCCACAATGTAATATATACATGACCCCCCACCCCACACTCACACACTATTTGAATAGTATGTTTTTGAATTGTGAATTGTGGGAAGACTAGGAAGTATGCAAACTGCATGGGAAAGATTCAGGGGTTCCTCACATTATTTAGAAAACCTTCCCATAACCATTTCAGTAACTACTAGCTATGACTAATAGAACAGCAGCAGATATAGAGACCGATATGTCATAACATTAAAACCAGTGACAGGTACATTGATTATAGTCAAGACTGCCATTACATATTAGGCAAGGGAACAATCAGTTCTTGAAGTTGATGTGATGGAAGCAGGAAAAATGGGCAAGTATAAGGATCTGAGAGATGTTGAAAAGGCTCAATTATTCATGGCTGGATGAGCATCTGCAGGTCTTGTGAGGTATTCCCAGTATTCAGTAGCCCGTCGCTACCAAAAAAGGTCCAAGGATGGCAAACCGGTGAAATGGCGACAGCCAATGCAGAAGAAGTTAATGCTGGCTATGATATAAAGTTGTCAGAACACACAGTGCACTGCAGCTTGCTGCATTTGGGGCTGCGTCATCACAGACTGGTGAGAGTGCCCACTGACCCCTGTCCCCTGACCCCTGTCCCCTGCCAAAAGTGCTTAAATGGGCACATCAGCATAAACATTGTTGCATACCAAGTACACCTCTTCATGGCAATGGTATTCCCCTTTCAGCAGGATAATGCACCCTCCCACACTGCAAAAACTGGTCAGGAATGGTTTCAGAGACATGACAGGGTGTTCAAAGTACTGACTTGACCTCCAAATTTCCCAGGTTTCAATCTGATCGAGCACCTGTGAGAAGTGTGGGACAAAAAAAGTCTGACCCTTGGAGGCCCCACCTCGCAACTTACAGGACTTAAATGATCTGATGCTAACAT